ACACACCACAAGAGAGAAAGAAGAGAGGGTGAGGAGAGAATAATCCCACAAAATTGTGAGGTATTTGTGAGATAGTAAGTGAGGTGTTTTCTCCTAATAATAGAGAGATTTTTATTGCTCTCTTATTATTAGAGAGAGGTTGTAATTCCCACATTACTTAGTAAAATCCTTCTATACTTGCCCGTGGACGTAGCCAAATTGGGTGAACCACGTAAATTCTTGTGTGTTCCATTTCTCATTTTATCCGATCCCTTACCTTTTGTCTTGTCGGGTTTGCATGCCAGCATCCTAACAGTGGTATCAGAGCCTCCTGGTTGGTGTTGTTAATACACAAAAATTATTCGTGTATACAGGTACTATTCACCTATACAGCACTATTCATCTATACGGTACTGTTCACATACGTTGCTGTTGGCGTATATAGAAAGTCAGTGCGGTGATTAAATACGGTCTAGGAAGTTCTGTCTAAGGAGATTGGGTTTTAAGCGGGACCGTTTGTGACCCCTCCAATCTTTCCTGGGAACTTACTTAGTGAAGTATTATTCACACGATACTATTTCTATATACGTTACAGATCTGTGAAACGGTGATAGCTGAATAGATCTTGGTGAATACAATGGCAGCAAAGTACGAGATTGAGAGGTTTGATGGGAGCAATTTCTCATTGTGGAAAATGAGAATCAAGGCAATCTTAAGAAAAGACAATTGCTTGGCAGCAATTGAGGATCGGCCCGCGGAGATCACTGATAATACAAAATGGAATGAGATGGATAGCAATGTTATTGCTAACATACATTTAGCATTAGCCGATGAAGTATTATCAAGTGTGGCGAAAAAGAAAATAGCTAAGGAGATATGAGAGACTCTAACAAAGATATACGAGTCCAAGTCTTTGCACAATAAGATTTTCTTAAAGCAGAGACTTTATACCCTTCATATGGGAGACTCTAACAAAGCTATACGAGTCCAAGTCTTTGCACAATAAGATTTTCTTAAAGCGGAGACTTTATACCCTTCGAATGGCAGAAACCACATCGGTGACTGACCACATCAACACAATAAGAACTCTATTTTCACAACTCACTACATTGGGCCAGCAAATAGAGGAAAATGAACGTGCAGAGCTTCTACTTCAAAGTCTTCCTGATTCGTATGATCAGCTCATTATCAACTTGACAAATAATATCCTCTTAGATTATCTAGTCTTCGATGATGTTGCAGTCGCTATCTTGGAAGAAGAAAATAGGCGCAAAAACAAAGGAGACAGAAACAGTTCAAACCAAGCAGAGGCATTGTTGGTGTCAAGAGAAAGATCAACGGAGCGTGGCTCTAGTGGGAGTCAAAGGTAGGGGAGGTCCAAATCAAGAAGTAAGAAGGCTGTGAAATGCTACAACTGTGGCAAAAAGGGGCACTTCAAAAAGGATTGTTGGTTTAAAAAGGGTATAGAGAATTCTGCGGAGTCATCAAAATCTCAAGGGTGTGTTGCAAGCACCTCAGAAGATGGAGATATTTTATATAGTGAAGCAGCGATAATCTCTACAGATACAAAAGAGCTCACTGAGGTCTAGCTAATGGATTCAAGAGCAACATGGCATATGACTCCTAATCGAGATTGGTTCCATACATATAAACCTATCTTTGGAGGCAAAGTGTTCATGGGTGATAATCATGCTTTAGAGATTGTTGGCATTGGCACCATCAAATTGAAGATGTATGATGGCTTAATTCATACTATTTCAGAAGTGCGACATGTGAAAGACTTAAATAAGAATCTTTTGTCCATAAGACAATTTGATAGTCTTGGCTGTAAGATCCGAACAGAAAATGGAATCATGAAAATCATCAAAGGAGCACTGGTGGTTTTAAAGGCAAGAAAGACAATTGCAAATGTATTTGCATTAATGGGAGAAACACATCATGAGACAGAAGCGTCAATCGCATCAGCCAGTCCTGCAGAAGAGAAGACGATGATGTGGCATCAAAAACTAGGTCACATGTCAGAAAAAGGTTTAAAGGTTCTCTCTGATCAGAAGTTACTCCCTAGGCTTACAAAGGTTACTTTACCTTTTTGTGAGCACTGTGTTACAAGTAAGCAACACAGGTTGAAGTTTGGCACATCTACAACTAAGAGCAAATGCATCTTAGACCTGATTCACTCTGATATATGGCAAGCACCTGTTGTATCCTTGGGAGGAGCAAGATACTTTGTATCATTCATAGATGACTTCTCTAGGAGATGTTGGGTGTATCCAATTAGAAGGAAGGCAGATGTGCTTACAGTCTTTAAAACTTTCAAAGCGCAGGTGGAACTTGAATCTGAAAAGAAGATCAAGTGTTTGAGGACTGACAATGGAGGAGAATATACCAGTGATGAATTTGATAACTTCTGTCAACATGAAGGTATCAAAAGGCAGTTCACAAAGGCATACACTCTACAACAAAATGGAGTGGCAGAGCGGATGAACAGAACTCTATTAGAAAGAACAAGAGCAATGTTGAAGGCTGCAGGTCTAGGAAAGTCATTATGGGCAGAAGCAGTCAATACCGCCTATTATGTGATAAATCGATCTCCATCAACCGCAATTGAGCTAAAGACACTGATGGAGATGTGGACTGGAAAACCAGCTGATTATTCTTGATTGCATATATTTGGAAGTCCTGTGTACGTGATGTACAATACACAAGAAGTTAGCAAGCTGGATTCAAAATCCAGAAAATGTGTATTTTTGGGATATGCTGATGGAGTGAATGGGTATCGTTTGTGGGATCCCACTGCCCACAAGGTAGTGATCAGCAGAGATGTCATATTTGCAGAAGGTAAAATGCAAATGGAAGAACATAATAGCATTCTAAAGGAGACTACAGCAGTCCATGTGGAAAATACTCAGAATCATGCTTCTTCTAAAGCTGTACCAGAGCATGAAGAGCAAGAACAAATAGAGTCTGAAACTCCTGAAGTTCGGCGGTCAACTCGTGAAAGAAGACCACCGGCTTGGCACTCAGAATATGTTACTGAAAGTAACATTGCATACTGTCTTCTAACAGAGGATGGAGAGCCATCAACTTTCCATGAGGCTATCAAAAGCACAGATGTATCTATGTGGATGACAGCAATGCAGGAGGAGATTGAAGCTCTGCATAAGAATAATACTTGGGATCTTGTTCCCCTACCACAAGGAAGAAAGGCCATTGGCAACAAATGGGTTTACAAGATAAAACGTGATGGCAATGATCAAGTGGAGCGGTATCGTGTAAGATTGGTGGTGAAAGGATATGCTCAGAAAGAAGGAATAGACTTCAATGAGATATTTTCTCCGGTGGTACGACTTACGACAATCAGAGTAGTCTTAGCAATGTGTGCTATATTTGATCTTCACTTGGAGCAGTTAGACGTGAAAACTGCATTTCTTCATGGAGAACTTGAAGAAGAAATTTATATGCTCCAACCAGAGGGTTTTGCTGAAACAGGTAAGGAGAACATAGTTTGCAGGTTGAACAAATCTCTATACGGTCTCAAACAGGCGCCGAGGTGTTGGTATAAGAGATTTGATTCCTTCATAATTAGCCTTGGGTACACCAGACTCAGTTCAGACCATTGTATGTATTACAAGAGGTTTGAAGAAGATTTCATCATTTTGTTGTTGTACGTGGATGACATGTTGGTGATAGGCCCCAACAAAGATCGAGTCCAAGAATTAAAGGCATAATTGGCTAGGGAATTGATATGAAGGACTTGGGACCAGCAAACAAGATTCTAGGGATGCAAATTTACCGAGACAGAAGTAAGAGGAAGATTTGGCTTTCTCAAAAGAATTATTTGAAGAAGATCTTGCGACGCTTCAACATGCAAGATTGTAAGCCAATTTCCACCCCACTTCCTATTAACTTCAAATTATCCTCAAGTATGTCTCCTAGCAATGAAGCAGAGAGGATGGAGATGTCTCGAGTACCGTATGCATCAGCAGTGGGAAGTTTAATATTTGTCATGATATGTACAAGACTAGACATTGCACAAGTAGTGGGAGCAGTTAGTCGATACATGGCAAATCCTGGTAGAGAGCATTGGAATACTATTAAGAGGATCTTGAGATACATCAAGGGTACCTTAGATGTTGCATTATGTTATGGAGGATCAGAATTTACTATCAAAGGTTATGTTGATTCAGATTTTGCTGGTGACCTTGAGAAAAGGAAGTCCACTACAGGTTATGTGTTCATAATTGCAGGAGGAGCTGTGAGCTGGGTTTCTAAACTTCAGACTGTTGTAGCATTGTCCACAACAGAAGCTGAGTACATGGCAGCTACACAAGCTTGTAAAGAAGCAATATGGATGAAGAAACTTATAGAGGAGCTCGGGCACAAACAAGAGAATATTCTTTTGTATTGTGATAGTCAAAGTGCCTTGCATATTGCAAGGAATCCAGCGTTTCATTCAAGAACAAAACACATAGATGTTCAGTATCACTTTGTTCGCAAAGTGGTGGAAGATGGAAGTGTGGATTTTCAGAAGATTCACACAAAGGAAAACCCAGCAGATGCTTTAACGAAACCGGTTAACACTAATAAGTATATATAGTGCAGATCCTCTTACGGCCTAACAGAAATGTAAGCAGCATGAAGATGGCAAGTATAGAAAGGATAGAAGAAGCACAAATAATCAAGTGTGAAGACTTGATTAACTCATCAAAGTCTTCAAGTGGGAGAATGTGAAATCACCCTAACATTGTTGACAAAATCAACAATGTTAGGCACAAATTTGTCAACAATGTTAGGCACCAATTTGTCAACAATGTTAGGCATAAATTTGGTGCCACCTACCTTGCTCTTGTCTTTTGCATGGATGTTTGCCTATAAATAGGCAATGCATTCAAGCATTATAGACACACCACAAGAGAGAAAGAAGAGAGGGTGAGGAGAGAATAATCCCACAAAATTGTGAGGTATTTGTGAGATAGTAAGTGAGGTGTTTTCTCCTAATAATAGAGAGATTTTTGTTGTTCTCCTATTATTAGAGAGAAGTTATATTCCCACATTACTTAGTAAAATCTTTCTATACTTGTCCGTGGACGTAGCCAAATTGGGTGAACCACGTAAATTCTTGTGTGTCGTTTCTCATTTTAACTTATCCCTTACCTTTTGTCTTGTCGGGTTTGCATGCCAGCATCCTAACACTCTTTTCAGTAATAACATGGTAGTGAGCAATAATGAAGGAAATTGTTGTGACCTGTGAGTTAGGTTCATGGATCATATGTAAACTTAGTGGTCAATTCACCTTCCAAGTTCTTAGTTACTAATGCAGTGTCAAGTCACAGTCCACAGTTTGAGATGTATCAAATCAACAAATTAAACTGTGTAAATAATTTTGCAAATCCAACGCTATATTCATTCATCATATTTAGGCAATCCAGTCTAACTTACTTCAATAATAACATAATTTTGAAGGAATTGCAGGGAGGATAGAAGGATTTTGATGGAGAGGATAGTAATCTCAAGGGTTCATTTCTATGAAGTTCCTTTGTTGTTTATCAACAACTAGATGAATAGGTTGGCATTCATCCTTCTTTCATCTACCCCTGTAATACGTACATCTTTCATGCCATGATAGGTTGTTACAGGGCACAGACTTCTCGACCAGAAGAAATAACCAAGAACCCTATAATTCTTCGTCAATGACCTGAGGGCGCATGGGGGAAAGGTCTTGCTATGAAAGAAATTAAAGGTTGGACCACAGAAAAGAAAGCTCATATTTTTGTCGTTGAACCTCAGGTTGTTTCGGAGTGCGTCTTACCACCGACAAGCTTTATTGAAAGCGATTAAAATTTTAAATAAAAGTATCACATAAGAAAATTAAAAATTAATAGAATAAAAACTGAAATAAAAAACATATAAAAAATTATGATTAAATGATAAAATTAAAAATAAATAAAATTTTTATATAAAAAAATAAAAACAAAATCAAAACAAACTAAAATTAAAATACTAAAAATAAAAAAGGACAATCAGCGACCCTTCAACAATCCAAGCAAAGCCTCCCTAAAGGAAGTGTGCCATAATCGGCCCAATAAGGAGAAAAAAAAGACATTGGGCAATAGTAAGCCCATAAAACAAAAACCATTGCCCCAACCCAAAAAAAAAAAAAAAAAAAGAAGATATGGTGGCACTTTCAATGATATCTGGAATGGTGAGGTTCGGCCACAAAAAATATTGCGTAATAACCAAGAACCCTACAATTCTTAACTTGAGTGCGCATGGGGGGCATGTCTTCCCCGTGAAAGAAACTAAGCGTGTGGACCAATGTTTCAATCAGCCAGTTCATTGTTAATGTCACAAAAGACTGAAATATAAAATAATTGACCATGAGTCAAGCTTTAACGTCGCAATCAGTCTAAAATAATTGACCATGAGTCAAGCTTTAAATGAGTTTGTGACATGGGATGGCATAAAATCATACTTAAGACTAGGTAAGTTAGGTGACTTGCCACATATTTTTTCTTAAAATAAAAATATTAAAAGAATATAAATATTTTTTTAAAATTAAAAAACTATATTATACAGGTAATTGACTCTAATAAATTAATGTAATATTATTATTAAAAAATATAATAATGATAACAAACAAAATATAAAAAATAACAATTTAATATAAAAAATGAACGTGTGTCAATATTATAAATTTGGGTTGAAAAGTGAACAAAAAAATTCATAAGATATTTAAGAAAAAAAGTAAAAGGAAAAATCATAATAATAAACATCAAATTTTAATTAATATATATATATATAATTATTTAACGTGTTTTTTTACACTAAAACAAACTTCTAAATATAAATTGACTAACTAACTTGGTTAATATCGGGTCTGGAATGAAGTTTCACTTGAAATTCCAACCACTTGAGGTTGTCCCAAATACCTAAAAAAATATGTATTATAACAAAGAAAGAAAGAGAACTTTTCTTCCTCTCAAAGTCTTGTCTAATTTTTTGGGGTTGTGGTCGGAAGAAATAACGTTGTGGTTAGGAGATTTGAATAACTGGCCTTAAGTAGTAGACATGAAAGTATCTTATCTCAATTTTGATATCAAACCATATAAAAACCTGGTAGATAACAACTTCAATCCCAACATCACTAGCTTTGGTCTGGCTAAAAGCTAGTAATGTTGGGATTGAAAATTTTATATAAGTATTAAAATGTTTATTTTAAATAATTTAAAATAGCAACTTCTTCACCAATAAAAAATGATAAAAAAATATTTTTCATACTCATCATAAAAAAATACTTATGGCCAAGAAGATACTATAATTAAATTAAGATTTATTTAGTTATTAAAACATTTATCCAAATATATTTAAGAATAAAATAAATAATTAACCAATCATGTGTCATATAAAATATTTACACCAATACAAGTTAAGATCTAACATTACTATAAATATAAAATAATAATTTCCTAAATCTAACTTATAATTTAAGAAATAATTATTTAGCTAGATCTTCAAGTGAACTGTTTCTTATCCATCTTCAAGAAATTCCTTCCAGCCCGAGCTGTGCTGAAGGATGGCACAGGAAAAGAAGCACAGGGGTTGGGTTCTAAGGTGTTATTGGAATCAAATTAACGCTAGCTGATGCATGTATAATTAATTACTCATAATACTAGATTCTGAGTTAACTCCAAAATTTATTTATTTATTCACGTTTTTGTAATGCAATTCCAGATTGATAGAATGAATTGCTTGCGTGTTGTTTTGATTTCATGTGAAGTTTTTTGACAAAATTCCTTGTATGTTTTGTTCGGTAATAATTATTTTTTAAAGTGTTTTTATTTAGAATTGTATTAAAATAATTTTTAAATTTATTTTTTATATTAGTATATAAAATAATTTCAAAATACTAAAAAAATAATTTAAAGCAAAAAAATTATAATTTTTTTTTAAAAAACTTTTAAAATTTAAAAACAAACAAGCTTTTTAATGCAATAAAAACAATATCTTTGAGACAGAAGACCGCATAAATAAATTTTAAGATATCTATTATAGGTTGTCAGATGGTACAAGAAAAGTTCAAAAATCATTAAGTAAATATAGCTAGCACTAACCTTAGGAGTCAGGAGGTGATGATTCGATTTTAAATTTATTTTTTAATAATAATAAGTCTGAGTTTCTTTTAGAATTATTAAAAATTTATATAGTTATTAATTTTAAAATATATAGAATTAATTAAAATATACACTACCAGAAATTCATTAAATAACAATGAATTTACCGACAAAATATTTCTGTCGGTAATTTGAGGTTGAAATTATCGACGGTTATATTCCATCCCTAATTCAGTCGGTAACTATCGATGGAAACTTTTCATCGGTAGTTACCTTTCCATTGATAGTTACCGACTGAATTACGGACGAAAATGTTTTCTTCGTAAAAAAAACGGGTAGCTGACTTGGAAGTTTTGGCAGGTTATTTTTTTAGACGGATTCAAAAAGGACAACTCGTACAGCGACCATCGTTTATATTGCCGACGGATTCACCGACAGATTTCAAATGACAGATCCGTACGATGAAGTGTCGATTGTTCTGTCATAATCATCGACGGATTTTTCATCAGTGAAACCATCGGGAAAAGTTAATATATGTACACATTGTCGGCCTTCTCCTCCCCTATTTCTCCTTCTTCTTCATAATCCCAACTCTCCCCATTTGCAAACAACCAGCCCCCCATTCCTCCCAAATACAAATCTCCCTCATATCAGCACAACAAGTTATATTTCTTGAAGTTTTATGGTCACAGCATTCGTGTTCTAATTTATCGACGGATTTTATCAATTTTTGTAAATAATTCTTTCTTTTTAAATCTTAACATTTAATTAAATGTCAATTTTATTGTTTTTTAGTATATGTATTTTGTTAGTAAATATACATGTTTTATTGTTATTTCTCAAACAAACTTGTAGTATATAAATGTATAATTCTATATTTGTTATGGTTTGTTTTAGATTTTGTAAGATTGTATTTGTTTGTAAATTGTTAAAATTTTATGGAACTACTGAAGTACATGTGCTGTTTTGAAATAATTAATAGCTTACTTATTGGGTCCGTTTAAAGTTTTGTCAATGGTATTGCAGAGTGGTAATTTCTGTAAATTTATATATTTTAATTTGTATGGAAATTGATAAATGATAATGAATATTTAATATTTATGAGAAGTTTTGATTGGTTTGTTGGATAATCTCGAGGTAAAGTAATATTTTTGCAAGTTTATTCACCTAACTTAGTTAATTAATATATTATGTCATCATAATTTTATAGATGTTCGATATGAATCATGGATTATCATTCATGAATATATCGAGATTCACCCCAAGGATTGTGGAGGATGGATTGTTGTAACGAGGTTCAGGGTTTTATTAATTTCACACCATCTATTCCTAGAAATTTTACTGGAGGCGGTATTAGGTGTCCATGCAAGAAGTGTCAAAATAAAAGGTATTTGCATCCAGATGTTATAATTATGTATCTTCTATACAAAGGGTTTATGGAGAATTACCAGTGTTGGTATGCACATGGAGAAGTATATGTTAGTAAAAGGAGAATGGAAAAGTGGTGGTTGGATCTACTTCTAGTGCTAGCAACAAGAATGACAATACTAATCCTTACAGAAACATGGTTATGGATGCAATGAGAATGAATCAAGGTAATGTCAGTCAATGTCTAATCATAGAAGAAAAATCTAATGCAAATACAGCTAGGTTTTTTGATTTGTTGAAAGATTCTGTCGAACCATTATGGGATGGCTGCACGAACCACAGTAAATTATCGGTTGTAGCACAGGTGTTCACCATCAAGTCAGAGCACGGGTTGAGTGAGGCCAGGTATGATAAGATTATTAAATGGGCAAGAAGCATTTTACTTGAAGAGAACAAGCTGAAATAGAACTTCTATGCTGTAAAGTCCATGATGAAACCCCTCGGTTTAGGATACCAAAAAATTGACATGTGCCCTAACTTCTGCATGTTATACTACCTTGAAAATGCTGAGATGACCGAGTAATGACATGCGGGTATTCCCGTTACAAACCTAGAACTGGTAGGGAAAAGACTCTAGTGGCATATAAAAAACTTAGACACTCCTCGATCACACCTAGATTGCAGAGGTTATTCATGTCACCAAGGACTACTGAGCACATGACATGGCACGAAGCACACCATACGGTTGATGGAGTGATGGTTCATGCTTCTGACGGC